ACGCCCTGATTGAGGCCTGCCGGCGGCCATCTTGGTGATGGACGCTGGCAGAGAGAGGAGGGGACGTTCATCCGGCGGGATGAGGTATGCCGCTGGGGTTCCCCCTCCCCTTCTTCTGACATGCGCGACCACCTGGTTGATGCCTGCCGGCGGCCATCTTGGTGATGGACTCCGGCAGAGAGAGGAGGGGACGTTCATCCGGCGGGATGAGGTATGCCGCTGGGATTCCCCCCTCTCTTCTGACATGCGCGACCACCTGATTGATGCCTGCCGGCGGCCATCTTGGTGATGGACTCCGGCAGAGAGAGGAGGGGACGTTCACCCGCAGGATGAGGTATGCCGCTGGGGTTCCCCCTCCCCTTCTTCTGAAAACATTTTCGGTATCGGTTTCGGCCTGACAATTTTTTTATTTTGGTTTTAAAATGTCCATTTTGGTGCACCTCTGGAAAAAAAAAAAAAAAAAGAGTTGAAAAATGATTTAAACAATGTAAAGAAAATAGGAAAATGTCAAAAAAAATTAAAGAAAAATATTGAAGAGAAAGAAAAGAAAAACGATCGGGCGGAGCTATCAGTGACAGCTAGCTCCGCCCAACTGTTTCCTACTGGCCGGCAACTGCCAGAGTCATCTAGCAGGTCCCGGGCCAATGAATAACAACTGGGCGGAGCCGGCCGTGACGTCTCTGTGCTTCCTGTGCGGGGTTAAACTCTCGGTGGGGTATGTTCCTGACACTTATTAGAACTGAGGAGGGGACACGAGATGTCTTCAACATTTCAGAAGAAGTTCAGTGGAATCATAAGTCTGAGGCAGCTAAAGAGTTCCCTTTCATGTCCTCCAGTTGTGTATTTTACTGTATGGGTGGAGTTCTCCTTTAAACGTCTGTTGTGACCTTAGCTTGTGCTCACCCTTTAACCTCTTGCCGTCCGCCCGTAGTAAAAAAACGGACGGACGGCACTGCAGCATCTGCGGGTTGCCGTCTCCAGACGGCAATTTTTTTCTGCTCGCGCGCGCCGCCTAGCGGGCACGCACGGGCAGAAAAGACCCGTCCAATGC